AACATTTGCATTCCTTCTTGAATCTAGACGCCATCATTCTTCAAATATTGGTTAATAATTCAGAAGAAAAAAGAAGCCCCTTTTCTTTGCTTATGCAACAGATTTTTATACCAGAATCTCAGAGTGTTTCACACAAATTAATTCATGATCCAGTCCCTTTAAAATTCTGAATGAGGATTAACAAGATTTCTACTCCGCACTTTGGAACATGGAGTTTCTGGAACCTGGATGTAGTGAATGAAACGTGCCATGGCTGCCAGCAAATTTGCAGATGAGCCAAGAAGAGAAAACAAGATTTCTGCTTTACTGTTTTAACCACCAGACACACAAAAATTTATCGACATTAAACAATTTAAAAAACAGACGAAAATGTTGTCTAAAAGAAAACGCTCTTTACTAAATTCGGCCTGTGTGAGAACTGGAACAAATTTCTATACTTCGAAACTTTTGGTGGTCTCAGTTCCCCATCGAGGGTAAATTGTTTTCTAAGATTCCCTCTAGATCTGATATTCTAAGTGTCTATGGACCTTATTTTAGAAAATGGGTCCTGTCTGAAAATAAGAACAGTTCAAAATATTTACAGAAATCGCGTAGCAGGATGTCCTTGCATGTCTCTTCACTCGTCCTCTGGCAATATTTACAGAGTTCTGTTTCTTCCTCTGTAACCCTCAAAACAAATTCTTTTTCCTTTCAAATTGCAATTTCCCTAACTCCTTTTCAACATACACTATGAATAAAATTAGTTACTTAATCTAGATCACCATATAATTCGCCACACTTTTTATCCCTTTCTCTAGGGATAAAGAACATAGGAAAAAGCAAAAGGATGAAGAATGCAGATCTTAAAATCATGTTTCCCAGGAATAAAATGTAGCTCTATAACTTATTTAGTGTGAGACTTTGGACAAATTAATCAAGTTCTAGTTTCCTCATCTGTGAAAAGGAGAAGATAATATACTTACCAACAATAAAACACTTTTTAGCGCAAAACTCAATGCATAATATGTTTAGAATTTAACACAATGCCCAGTGCATAATAAACAGTCTTGTTTGTCCTTCAGTTATTTTCTTCCCTTTCTCTGATACATGTCTACACAGACTCCATCCTATGCCATCTTTGTCTCACAGGATCTGGAAGCCTAGAAACTACAATACCCAGAATCCCTTGGTTCCTGTTCTCTTGTTTAAATTCCTTTATTGAGAATCATTTGCATTAAATTTTGAAGGTAGAAGAAAAGTTAATATAACCCCTTCCCCAGGGGCAAGTAGGAGCACTTACTACTCATGCATTTACTGCCTACTACTACCGTGGACAAATATGAGATTTTGCCAGTGACTTCTAGGAATTCTCTCTAAAATTATCATTTTGGGAAGTTGGGCAGCCAAGATCCATTGGCAGTGGCTTCTAGAAAATCTTGTCATATGTTAATTTCTTGGGGGGGGGGGAACCACAGTAATTTAACTTAAACTTCACTTCTTCATTCCCGGAAGTGGTTTTGTAATCTCCTAATTAGTTCTCTGAATTAAGTGCCTTCGAGCTTGAGTGGTTTCTGTTTTCTTGACTAATCTTAGATGATATATTTTTCTCCTTCTAGTTCTAATTATTGGATTCTATTGTAGTTTAGTAAATAAAAAGGAGAAAGGAGCATAATAGTATTAATAGTAACTGTGAACATTTAGTTCTTTCCTCAAATGACATCTTTTTAGTAAGTGCCTTCTGACTATTTTATCTTTGCCTCCATTTCTCTGCTTTTAAAAAGCCTCCATTAGCATTTTTTAGTATTTTATATAATAGTAATCTTACTTACCTTGTTTATAGTATTTCTATATAGGAAATTATTATACTTATATAGATAAAGATCCTTTTTTACTGTTTCACTGTTTAATACCCATTTCTTAAAAAATTATCTCACATGTAGTAGGCACTTAATAAACATTTGTTGAGTTAATGAATAGAGTACTTATTATGTACCAGCTTTCTTCTAAGTGTTGCATGTATATTATACTAATTAATATTTCTTTTTTTTTTTTTTTTTTTGAGACGGAGTTTCGCTCTTGTTACCCAGGCTGGAGTGCAATGGCGCGATCTCGGCTCACCGCAACCTCCGCCCCCTGGGTTCAGGCAATTCTCCTGCCTCAGCCTCCTGAGTAGCTGGGATTACAGGCACACGCCACCGTGCCCAGCTAATTTTTTGTAATTTTAAGTAGAGACGGGGTTTCACCATGTTGACCAGGTTGGTCTCGATCTGCTGACCTCGTGATCCACCCGCCTCGGCCTCCCAAAGTGCTGGGATTACAGGCTTGAGCCACCGTGCCCGGCCCACTAATTAATATTTCTAATAAAACCTATTCAATGACTATTACTAGTATGCCCAATTTATAAAATCAAAGATTTAGACACACGTATAGTGGAACAAGTCTTTTAACTTGAACTGGCTACCAAACCTTTGCTATTTACCATGATACCACATTGAATACCTACTATTTTTCTAGTACTGAGCTAGGTAGTTGATATTGCCTAAAGTCTTATAAAAATGCCATGTGGTATGTATGATAAAATGAGAAAACTATGTCCCACAGAAATTAAATAATTTTGTACACAATGATATAGCAACTAAATGTGCAGTTCAAATCCTCACCAAGCTCTGTCTGCCACTAAAAACTATAGGTTCCTTCCAAACTAGGGGACATTTTCAGAGGTCCTCAGATGCTTTGTTCTTGATTTTGGATGAAACATATGAAAAAAAGTGATGGTATATATACTGCCCAGGAGTAAAACCAGAAAAACTAGAATGAAATTTGCATATACTTGTATTAGAATAGACGCATTTTAGTATAAGGTACATCTGATTGCCAGATACTAATATAGCCTTGGCTAGAACATATTACTTTCATTAAGAAAACTGTTTCCAGAGTGTGAGCCTATTTAGCTCATAATAGGACACAGTGTCAGTACCAGGCCCCCAATTCCAAAGCTCAGCAAAAGCAAAACAAATTTCTAATATGAGGCATTTTTATAGGATGAATGAACAGCTCATATTGTTATGGTAAGGCCAATTTTATAAAACTTGGAAAAGCAATGTGGGCCCTGACTTACTCTCCTTTCTTTTGTTAGGCACAAAAAAAATTATAAGATGTAGATAGTAATGCCTCTTTGAAAATCTCTAATGGATGCTTCTTTGTAAGACAATCTGTTCTTTATTCAGTGATTATAGACACATAGGAGAAATAGTTCAGTATAAAGGAGGAATAAGATGCTTGAGATTGCCACTGGAATTTTTATTAAGCAAGACAAAACAAAACAAAAAACCTTATTATATAAAGCGGTAACTGCAGATGGGCATTACTCATTGACGGTAGTCATTCATTTGCATGGAAGAGGATTATATTAGGAAATGAAGGGTCCTTTCTCACCAGTATTCCATTCCTTCCCAGATAGCCAGTATTTTCACACTCCAGTCATTAGAATGTGCTAACTTGGAACTTATGAATAAGAAAATTATTTTTATTCTTCTTTAAATATATTCCTTACTTTTACAGTTCTAAGAGAATCCAGTAGGCGTTTACACTCTCTCATATAATATTTACTTCTGCTATAAGCTTATTTTTTGCTTGACAATTATTTCATTTGTAGGGACCAAAAAATTCATTATGCAAGGAAATACTTTTTCCTTTATGTGATAGTACTGTTGTTCAATATAGCCATGTCTTTTGAGAGGTTTTAGAAGATTGAAGTCATTAGGAGTACAAAACATAGCTTAGTACTTGATCTGTAGAAAGATTTCTAAGCCGGCAATCAGAAGACCTACAACTTGACTCTGGTTGTTCTGCTAATTAAGAATGTAACCTCAGACAATGTCTTTAATTTTGGTCTTCAAAAATGCATTCAACTTTTTTGGTCTTCTTTTTTAAAAGATGGAGACTCTTTAAGTTCTTAGAGTGTATTAGCTTACCACAAAAGAAAGAGAAAACAAAACATATGGCAGAGGAAAAAAATTCAAGATTGGGGAAGTTAAAAGGTTTATTTAACACATCAGATTTTTATATGTTCCCAAAACAATTTCTTTTTTCATTTCTGCCAGGCCAATAATGACCAAATAAAGCCAAGGATGGTGCAGTTCATCCAATAAATAATAATATCTGAGCTTAATTATGAGGACAGTTCTGTAAAATATTGAGTTTGAGGCTTTGTAGATTGTACTGTTGTCATCTTATTTATAACTTCATACAGGCTTCATGATGCATGGTCTATATATTTACCTATGATAATGTAGAACCAGGATCTTCATTTGGTCTTATAAAGAACTTGGCAGCATGTGTGCATTTTCCTGGGAAAACAGCATTGTAATAATGGCATAAAATTTAACAGACCACAGCCAAGTGATACATAAGATGTTCCCCACTGGAATAGTGAGTTAGTTCAGGTCAATTTGGGAGTCCTACCATTATGTTAAATTTTTAAAACCAGTAAAACCATTCAAGTCAATTATTCTTATAAGAGACAACTGGTTGGTAAAACTGACCATATAATGGCTTTGAGAAGGAAAGATTACATCTCTCCCTTCCCTGTTTCTGCTTTATCCAATAAGCACAGTGGGTTTGAGCTCAAATAAATATCTACAAGAATAAATGACATTGAAACAAGCACTGTATGTACTATGCTTTTTGTAAACTGCCCTCTTTGAATTTGTGAAATAGCTTGGAACAAGTAGGTGGCATGTGATGCTAAAATGCTTTCTCATGCTTTGGCATTAAGGAGTTTCCACAGTTCTCAATTGGTGATAATCATAGGGTGTGTTTGCACAGTTCAGACTTCACTAGAACACTTTCTTTGGAGGAAAACTTTGGGTGATTTCCCAGGTTCAATTTTTTTTAAATCACTAAACTGTGGTTTTTACTTGCAAATTAACGTGTGTTATTGTGTTACAATTAAATGTTTACAGCTTGGAAATTATTTTCCTTTTCATTGAAAAACACTTCTGTTTATTTTTTCTCTGTAGGTCAGAGGAAACCCAATCCACATTGGAACAAGGCTTCTTAAGACATGGATATAATTTGGTGGTAAGATGGATTCGAGGTTATTCCCCTGAACTTTCTCACTTTCGCCTCCTCCTTCATGCACTCATTTCATCATAGAGGTAGAAATGTTAAGCAATACAGTCAATTATGTGTTAGTGATCTCAAAGAAACCTACACTAGGTACTTCTTTAAAATCTAAATTGGCAACATAATAATGGGCTGACTTCAGGGTTGCTAAAATTTACCACCACCACATGGTAAAAGAAAAATACTATAATCCTAGTAAACGGGTAAATTACATTTTTTAGGAAAGCATTTTAAATAATCTGAGAAAGGCTGTGGTAAACTCAAAATGAAATCTAGAAATAAATATGTCATTAAGTGATTCCAATAGCTTTATAACTTTACTTTCACGTGGTTTATTTTACATTATCAGAATAGCCTTATGTAAGCCAAAATATGCCTGAAAGCTAATTCAAGAAATTTTTTATTTTTTATTTTTTGGGACTATCTAGCTCTGTCACCCAGGCCAGAGTGCAGTGGCGCAACCTCAACTCACTACAACCTCCGCCTCATGAGTTCAAGCAATTCTCCTGCCTCAGCTTTGCGAGTAGCTGTGATTACAGGCATTCGCCACTATGCCCAGCTAATTTTTGTATTTTTAGTAGAGACCTGATTTCTCCATGTTGGCCTGGCTGGTCTCGAACTTCTGACCTCAGGTGATCCACCTGCCTTCGTCTCTCAAAGTGCTGGGATTACAGGCATGAGCCACTGAGCCTGGCCAACTCCAGGAAATTTTAACTAAGTTGTAGTAGGGTGTTCTTAGTCTTTGCTGTTTTACAGAGGAACACAGTGGGAAGTGGGAGAGAAAAATCTTCTAATAGAGAACTTACAGTGAGTTATCCATCATACTTATCTTTTGTTGTTGTTCTAATACTACCTTTAATTTTAATCCTTTCAACGAATTTACTTACCACCTACAACATCTGAATTCCTCGTGACATGTAGCCTCAGGCTGCCTATTCTTTAGAATGAGGCCACCTGAGGGAGGGAGAACTATCTGTGTACAGACTTTGGAGAGGTCATCATCTACTTGAATAGTCTGTAAAATTGGGAGCATGTGTGCATTTTCCTGGGGAAACAGCTGAAGGTTTTCGTAGTCCTCAAAAACATAGCTTAGAAAAGGTTAAGAACTCTTGCTTAGGTAGAGTTAAGCACTAGTTTGACACCTAGTTCAAAGTCCTCAAATTTTATATGTTGAGTTACCTCTTCACCCCACATCTAATAAGTTGCTTAGATTGTGTGCCATAGAAGTACTTGCCAATTGAGAAATATTAGTGGGATGGCAAAGAATATCAACCACTCAAAACAAAGGCTTGTATACCACTGTCTGTTCATGTTTAATGTCTATGACTTTTCAAATTTTTTGACATGTAGGAAAACCTCCAGGATACAAAGAAAAGTAGAGTAGGAATCAGCAGTTTTCACTACAGAATCCTCTCCCTTTTCTAAGTGTCCACCAAAGCAGAGGTTTATGAACCCCTGGGAAAAGGAAGAAAGCTATTGCCAGAGTATACCTTGTTCTCTCAGCCTATCAGAATGTCAAGGGCCTGTGACTCCATTAGACAAACAGAACTGCAATGGTGTCATTGAGATAATATGGCTTCAAATATTGCTTTCTAAGTGGCCCTAGCCTTGCTTTTTGTAGTATATAGTCTTCTACATGCACCAAGGACAGAGAAGTTGTTCTTTTCAACACATAATCTTGACTTAGATGATCATCCAGGTCAGTTACAATTAAGGAACAGATGCTGTACATATACCTAATTTAAGATATATCAAAATACTGGGGACGCACCACAGTTGGTCCTTCAGGCCCACTTTACTAACAGACTTTGATTCAGCAAACCATTTACTTTGCTAGTCTTTTATCTTTTATAAAGCATCTTGTGTCTTTTTTGTTTTATTGTTTTTTTTTTTTGTAACAGGGTCTCACTCTGTTGCCCAGGTTGGAGTACAGTGGCACAATCAGAGCTCACTGCAGCCTTGACCTCCGAGGTTCAAGCAATTCCCTCCACCTGGGCCTCCCACAGTGTTGGCATTACAGGCATGAGCCACTGCACCCAGCCCCTTGTGTCTTTATGTACCATTTTTTTCCTACTATAAATGCTCTCCTGGGCCTATCTCTGTTACCACACAATTGACCTCAAAGTTTATCTATACCTCCTAGGTGGGAGTTCTCTCATAGAGAAAAAAACAGGACTGGTTAGAAGATTAATTACTTCTAACATTATTTTTTCAGTAACCATTTCTGCCCTTGAGATAAAATCTTACACGAAGGCCCAATAAAAAGAGTTAAATAAATTTTTTAAAGCAGCTTTGTTTTAAGGATACAGTGGCTTCCAAGTGGGTAAGAATGGCGAGCTTAAATTAGGGTTCTGGAGGACCTAGTTAGAAAAGAAAGCATTAGCAGAAATGTTACATGTGTAAATTATTTTAAAGTACATCAGCAGATCTTATGTGGAAGAACATGCATAGTATTTAGTTTAGCCTATAACTCAATGATTCTAGTATTTAATGAAGAATGCACAATCCAGAGATTGTCTATGAATGTGCTCCTCAAGACCCAGAACTGAATCCTGGCCCTCAGGAAGCCCGTCCTCCAAAAGTGGCTACTTCAACTGCTTTCCTTGTATCTGGGTCAATAACTACTCCTTCACTAATTAACAGACTGGGTGTTGGAAATGGGACATTTATTGGTAAAAAACTGTGGATTGTTGCCCAGAATGATAAATGTCAAAACAATAGGTCCTCTTTAGGGAAATAAAAAATATTCAATCTATGTGTACTGGCTAGCCTATTTAGAAGATACTTCCCATATATGCATGAACAATAGAAATGGAGGGAGGGTTTGTGACCTACACCCTTGGAAAAGATGTCCTAATCTAAATCCGCAAAGATTCCCGTGTTCAGCCTTGGATTCTGGAGGATTCCGGTTGTCTGATTCAGCTGTCACAGTGACAGAGTCCTGCCTCTGGAATGTTGTTATGTCTGCTTCTAGAATATTGCTGTCTGCTTTAAGGGAACTTTCCTTGCAATTTGCAATCATAGTGCCTAAAAGGACAGTGAGCTGAGATTTCCCTTAGACAACAGAATAGGTTATATGAGTAGTTTTTGTTCTTGTTTTGTAAGGATTGTTTTGTATGTGAGGCAGAATTTAGACTGAGACCCTGTTTCTTCATAACTGGAGTAAGGTTATAGGTGGAGTAGCTAGCTCTGACTCACCTCATATTCATAGTTAGTCACTAGCAGAGACCGACGCATCATAATCAAGTTGGCTAAAGTTCATCTTCTAAACTTCTTTGATTCAAAGAATAAGAGCACAGAAGCACAGTATTTATAAACTACAAAATGATATTATTTGACTTTGATCCCAGTTTGATCATTCATGCCTGCCATTATCCTGCAATAATTGTTTTGATGGCAAGAGTACTTCCAGCATCACCTGATAGTTACTTTAAAGCATTTACTAGACATTAGAAAAAAGTACGTGATCTTCCTTCATAAATCTAATATTTATTGATGAGATAAGATATTTATGCCAAAAAAGTGCTTACAAAATGTAAGGAGGTATATAGTGAATGAAAAAAATAGTAAATACAGTAATGATTCAAAGAGAGAGATGAATCTGTGACTATTTGACCAAGGAAGCTATAAATATTGAAGCAGGTTTGTCACATACTTGGGATTTAGACAGGACTTAATAGAGATAAGAAATCACTTTTAACCAGCCTTTGGTGACAAAGATGGGTTAGGTTGAGCTTATGAAGTGCCCTGAGATGCCAGCTAAAGAGTTCAGATTCTAGAGTATTTTTTGGTTTCAAGAAATGTGCCTTGTTTTGGGTGGGATGCAACTTAAACTTTTTGAAATGGTAGCAACCCAGTCTCAGTAAAATGTTACTGGGGGGATATTACACTTGTAATAAGTCTAGTCAACAGAAGGAAAATGAGCCTTCACACTCTAAGAGGTGGCAGGAAGTTAGTCCCCTCCTCCTATTTAGATATCTACTAGGAAATAACTTTTGGTCATTTTCCCAGAACAAAGTACAGGCTGTGATTTTTAAGTTAACCTGACCAGTGTTTTCCCAAGATAGGAAATTAGCACTGAAGTTAATGAAAGGTCAGAGGTTAGAACTGTAAAGCATCTTCCCCTGAAAGACACTAAAATTTCAAATGTTTGTGAAGCTTGCCTATTTTCTCCTCCCTGTAACTCATCTCCTTCTTCCACCTCTCCCTAACCTTTGTTTTCCTATCTCATTAATCTTTTATGAGCCTGTCTTAAATAGATGGAGCAAGGATGGAGCAAGGTTGTAAATTCCCCTACACTGCAATCAAATATATAAAGGAAATGTGGGTTTAAATTTTCTGCATGACTAGTCTGATCTCCAAGAGTCTGAATTCTGTTGAGTAGATGACTTGGACATATCAACTTATTCCAGGTAGATGTATTCCAGCCAGGTATTCTCAGTCTGAATAGTGCAAAAATAAACTATTTATCTACTAAGATGATTCAAGTAATATACAATATGTTAGTGTTCTTCCTCTCTTTCTCTCCCTGAAGTCAATTGTGATTATAAGAGGATGAAAATTTAAATAGCATCACAGCAAATAACATGATTGTGTTAGTTGAAACCTTTGGAAAGTAGATGCTGAACCAGAGTGGGAGTTCAAGGGATTTATTGCAAGGCAAAGCCACTGAAAATGAAAAGGTGAAAGAAGCAGAATTGGAAATGTGACTCCTTGAAAAGAAAGATGGAAGGAAGCAGACCTGGGCAGAAAGACAAAGGCTCTGCCCATTCAACAGCAAGTTCTCGAGAAAAAAATGATTTTTAGAGGGATCCCACATTTGGCAGAAATAACCAGTCAGTCATTGCAAGGAGCTACCCAGGAAGAGTGTTCTCTTGTTTCAAAAAGGTGATACATAATTCATTATGCAGGCTGTCTGCTCACTGCACTTTTTACAATGGAATGAAGAGTTCTCT